GGAAATAAATTCTAGACTCTAAAATCCACAACTTTTTTCACTAATACTACTACTTTTGGAATTAGGAAAATCTAGTTATTTACCAAATATTCCCCGTAGTCCTTTGACAAGCTTCTTGTACCCCCTGGGAGTACGCGTATCCCAGGTTGGGAACCCCTGTTCTAGAGGAAGATTGGATTGTACATCCTCTTGAGAGCGCTGAAACTAGATCAATAATCCTTAACATTTTTAAAAATATAACACAAAAGAAAGTGTAGTTAAAATTTCTATGACCATTCAATCCACAGCCTCAGGTGAGTGTTATAAAACTGCTATTAGCGGTGGATATTTTTTCACTGGAGGCTGGATTAACTCAGATGGATTTCTTTCCCCTCAACCACAAAAAAGTCACCATTATTAACCTAGGTTCAGCTCAGTGATATACAGGTGAAAGATTGAGTAAGTATATCTCATCAATTCTCAGAAGCAATTTCTAAATTGCCACCAAGTGCCCTCTTACTAAACTCTTTTTTATTGTTGTTCTATAACATGTCACTTTCAGTGAATGGACAGCTTTCTGTGTCTCTGCTGGATATGCAGCCCTGAGATGAATGACACTACAGCACATTTCATTGCATTTTTACATACAGATTATTAAGGGTTTGTTATTATAATCTCTTCTGAGCAAGATTGGTCAACTCATCTGCATATGTGAGTAGCAGGCACTAACATAAGCAGAAGTACTAGAACAGTGTGCAGAGTGGATGTACTTAGAAACATTAAGGCAAACTATAAACTCTACATATGGTAGGAAACCATTTCAAATCAGGGAGTGTGGCAGTACCCCCAGTACGTCTATTTCCAGCATGTATAAGCATGAGTATCCCATTGACTTCATCCATGAGTCAATGACCTACTCTATAGATGGAACTATGTTCTCTCAAGTCTGAATTTTGGTGGCAGAATATTTGGTTTTGTTAGTCAAATTATGAAGAATTTAAGAATGTGAAATAAGGATATCAGAATGAAGGATGGTTTATTTTTAAAGTAGATTTACAAATACGTACATCTCATTCATATGAAGCATTACCCAATCAACCTCCGTCCTGTCTTTATGTTTTACAAATAGTGTAAAAACAGCATACCAATACACAGTATGCTTCCTTCATGAGGTAACATTTTATTTATTTATTTTTCTTTATGCTCCAAAGAGGCACTCAACCTCACAACCCCAGAAAACACCTCAGAGTCTGGAACTGATGACTCCAGGGTCAGCAGTAGCACTGCTATCATTGGTATTCCTGTCAGCCACGGCTGTTATGTCTGCCCCAGAAAGAAACACAAGCCATCCAAATGGCCACTCTCAGTCATACAAACTGGCTACGTCTACATTGGCCCCTTCTCCGGAAGAGGCATGTTAATTTCCAACTTCAGAATAGGGAAATCCACGGGGGATTTAAATATCCCCTGCGGGATTTAAATAAACATTGCCACCGCTTTTTTTCCGGCTTTGGGAAAAGCCGGAAAAAAGCATCTAGACTGGCGCGATCCTCCGGAATAAAGCCCTTTTCCGGAGGATCTCTTATTCCTACTTCAAAGTAGGCTTTTCCCCGTGTTTATTTAAATCCTGCGGGGGATATTTAAATCCCCCGCGGATTTCCCTATTCTGAAGTTGGAAATTAACATGCCTCTTCCGGAGAAGGGGCCAATGTAGACGTAGCCACTGAGATTGAGCTAGTCCTCTCCTAGTATCTGGCATAGGCCATAACAGAGGCTTGAAGGAAAAGTGCATGAGACCCAGAATGAAAGATTATGAAAACTGTGATGCCTCTTTAAATCGTTGGGCAGTCTGTACTACAGAGCAATGCCTCATTGTTTAATTCTGCTATCAGAACAATAAAGCTACTACAGTGGATATCATGTTGGAAACATCACTTGATGCTCAATTTCTATCACAGCTGGGTCCAAATATTACATTGGTGATTGAAGACCTTCTATCCGTTGTCCATACAAGAAGAAAAATGAACAAATACTGTATTTTTAAAAGTAAAGATTTTCCCCTAGAAACTCAGGGTGGCAGAATGTTGTGTTTGTTGTTGGGGCAGCATCAGCCAGCCATCAGGAGATGGGGAGTAGGCAGATGAGAACAGAACAAAGGAAGGGATTGCTTCTGAGCCAGTAAAAACAGGTGGTGAGGTGGGGCAGCCATCCTGGGCATGCTATGCTGTATGCTGAGGAGCTTTAAGTATAGTCTAAGGAGGGATTCTACAGTGCATGCACATAGCCAGCAGAGGGCAAACAACAGCAGAAAAGCTGCAGATTACAGAGATAGGAAAATAAAAATGTATGTGTGGAAGCAAAGACATCTGGGAGGGAATGGAATTCAACAGGAGAGAATTTCAACAAGAACATCTGTGGGCAGTATAGGTGAATTCTATGAAAACTGCAAATCATGACTGGCATACCACAAACATTTTGAGAAATTAGTAGCTTGCAACTCTATTCCAGACAGACACGTTTCAACCTTCCTAATAGTGATGAGTCCCTAGGCATAAGAACTGCTGCATGATCTATTGTTTCTAACTGTGCCTAGCAATGTCACATACTCTGTAATTGATCAAGCAATGTAAAAACATTTCTCTCATCCCCATTGATGATAGTAGTATGAGATCATTTCCATCAGAGACATCAGGGAAGTGGAGAGTCAGCACAGTTTGCTACTAGTTTAAGGATGTTGTCAAACCATTGTCAGTTCAGACAAACATTAAGTGATGCTCTTTGTGCCCAGATCTGGAAAAAGTTACTGGCTGTATCAGTGCTTACATTCAAGAGGGTTGTTTAGGTGGCTATTGCTATGGAAACCTCTGAGAAGAATTCTCTGGCACTGAGTGTGAATTAGCAAGACAGGGGACCATGGGAATGAAAGAAATTTCTGTGTGGTCACTATGTATAAACTGTGCACTCTGAGAAGGAGTGCTGGGCATGTCCTGTCAGCTGCAGGAAGTGAAAGAAAAAAGGACATGCCTTGTCATACAATTTGAACAACCAGCAATGCAGAGTAACCATAAATCCAAGAAGACTGAACCTCAGAAAAGACAGAAGTTGGAAATTCATAAAGTGGAAAAAAAGAGTTTTATTGACATGGTCCAAGATCTAGCACAGCACATGTTATCAGAAGCAGGAGACAGAAACAGCATTTGGGTCACACCCCAGATCCAGGGATTTCCCACAAGACTGAAACTTGATTTACACCTCATTACTGACAGCTTATCATAAGTTCCTTTGGACTTTTCAGACTTATACCAGCAAGAGGTTAGTACCAAAAGGGATATGCCAGATGAAAGTTCAGCTAGGTGGAGAATCAATAATTTTACCCTTGTATGTAACTGAAGGAAACTACCTACCATCACTTGGCAGATCTTAGCTTGAGACACTCAAGATGAATTGGAGTGAGATGAGGGTGATCATGAAAGCACTTGAAACCTTCCAGTAATTCTGGACAGACACTCCAAAGTTCTTCAAAATGAACTTGCATGGATGAGCTAGTAGAGCTCACTGTTAAGTCTGATAGCCAATCAAAGTTTTGCAAGTCCAGGCTTGTGCTTTATATTCTGAAACATTCAACAGAAGCTGATTTGGACCATTTAATGAACATTGGAGTTTTGTCACCAGTTTCACAGAGTGAGTGGGTATACCCACCACACCATTGATCAAAAAGGATGACTCCAACTTTGCTTCTGGAGATTTCAAAATGATACTGATTCCAGTTTTACATACACACTAGCAGGCACCACCTCATACTGAAGATTTGATTGCTTAGAGTAGAATTGTATTTCTGTAAATTGGATTTGCACAATGCATACCTACAAATGGAGTTTGATACCGCACCTCACAAATTTCTTACAATCAATGAATAAGAAGGCTTGTTTTGCTGTAACAGGTTGCTTTTTGATATAACATCAGAACTTGTCCTGTACCAGAAAGACATTGATGAAATCCTGAAGGAACTAAACAGTGTCCAATGCTATTTGAATGACATACTTTTTAAGAAGGATAAAAAAGGATAATTTTCAGAATCTGAGTTCTGTCCTGCAGTATTTGATGATCATGGATTGGAGTACATCGGGACAATGATTTTTTCAAACCTTTAGTTGAATACTCTCTGACTATGTCTACACTACAAGGTTTTTGTGTGAAAACAACCATTTTTGCACAAAAAATGTTGAGCATCCACACCTCAAGCATGTTTTTGGGCAAAAAAAAAATACAGTAAATCAACAGGACAAAGAGATTTTGCCGGTAGAGTTATTCCTCGCCCCACGAGGAATAACTCCTTTTTGCGCTACAGCTCTTGCACAAAAAGGCATGTATGGACACTCCTTAGTGGTTTCTTGCGCAAAACTAGCCTATCAGAAAAAGCACAGGTGCTCTGATGGCCATTCTGTTAATGGCCATCAAAGCTTTCTTGCACAAGAGCATCCATGCAGTGTGGATGCTCTCTTGTGCAAAAGCGCATCTCTTTTTTGATGCGCTTTTAAGGTGTGGATGTGCTTTTGTGCAAGAAGGTTTTGCGGAAGATCTCTTCTGCCAAAAGCATCTTAAGCAAAAACCCTGCAGTGTAGACAAAGCCTCTATGTGTAACTGATGCCGTGGTGTTAAGGAAATTGCCAGAGAAAGATAAGACAGTTCTTCAAGCACCAAGACCAGAGACTGTATCATAGTTAAGTTAATTCTTAGGACTGCTTTACTATTATAATAAATTTATGCCTAATCTAGAAACAGTATGGGCATGTGAACTCTTACAAGCAATAAGAATTCAAGCCAACGCTAGTGTTGTTTTGGCATCAAGCTAAAGCCACCCTTTTTACTCATGCTTTTAATGTTTGAGTCTGTATGTGTGTGCTCCTCCTCTCTCTATAATTTTAGCTGGTTATGTCCCTCTGGGGTGTCATATTTAAAATTTTCATACTTTAAATTTTATATTTATTTGTATTTTTTTGTTTGTTTTTGTAAGACGCCTTGAATATTTTTAATAGAAAGGCAGGGTAAAATATTTAAATAAATAAATTAAATAAATAAGAACTAGAACAGGAAAATGGACTAAACAGTGTTAGTGTGTATTTAAATAACCTGTTTACAACAGTTGAAATGGTTATACGCTTTGATGTCTTGATACCATTGCAATTCATCCATGATGCTTCACCATGCGGAGTGAGTTTAATTCTTTCCCATTTTTTTTCCTAATGGAAGAGAGAAACCAAATGTCTTTGCTTCACAATCACTCACCACTTCTGAGAAGAACTATGCACAAATAGACCAAGAAGCTTTCAACATTATCAGAACTGGCAAGTCCTCTACCTATCTCTTTGATAGGTATTTTACCAGGCTGACAGATCACCACCCCTTAAATTCAATCTTTGAACAAAAACATAGAATTCAGTCATTATCTGCTGCTTTTATGTAACTATGAACATTGCTGCTTTCAGCTCAGTTCTAAACTATTTTGTTCTGTAAAGGGACTCAGCACAGCAATGCTGATGGGCTGTCTGGATGAACTACGTGAACAGGAGCATGTGCAAAAGGTACTCCTTGATAACAGTGGTAAACATGTAAAATGGGCACCTGGGGAACCTGTAAAATGCAGGGGACCTTACTCATTTGTGGTAAAACACTCTGGTAGTAATTTATGGAAACAAAAGTTTCAGCCTCAACTGATTAAAACCCATTTCACTAAAACTCCTACTTCTGATGACTTTTTGGAAGAAACTTTGGTACCCGGTACAGCTGATTTCTTACCAGAACTGTTATTCTTGTTCAGGGCATTGCCACACAACCATCACCACTTTGTCCTAAGAGAAAGAGAAAACGCTTGATGCATCTGATTGTATAAATTATTCAGCTAAGATATCTCTACACAGCAAGCCATTCTTTTGAAATAATGTCAAGATGGAGAACTTCTTACTTGGACTCCTGTAACCCTCATTTTACCAGAAGTAAGGGCAGTTGAAGGAAGAGTGTTCTTCTTTCCACTTCCTGCTGTGTAGACAGTGCCAAAAGCTGAATTAATCTATTTTGACTTCAGCTACGCAATTGACATAGCTGAAGTTGTGTATCTTAATTCGACTTTTTCCCTGCTGTGTAGACATGCCTCTAGTGAATTGCTATTGCAGGTGAGAATAATCCCTTGCAATTTAAGAGTCTGTGGTAATCCATGGAATAACTTTTACTTAGGTTATATAGTGTGTTATGTCAGCCAAGTAAATAATAATTTGTGTGTATGAAGGGCCATCCTTATCCATACAGCAGAACTTGTAGGTACAGAGGGCGCAAGAAAATTTGGGACACCACTGGGTTTTAATGTCCACCCACCCACTTTTTCCTATCCCTGTTCCATGGTTTCCCTTCATCCAGACTATGTTTAGACTGCAGGCTTCTTTCGGAAGAAGCTTTTACAGAAGAGATATTCTGAAAAATCTTTTTCCAAAAGGGAGCGTCCACACTGCCAAAGTGCATCGAAAAAGCGATCTGCTTTTTTAAAAGATAGCGTCCACACCGAATGGACATTTTCTCACATTTAAGCTGTGATTACTATGTGATTACTATGCCCACCTGGGTACCTTTGCTTTTTCCTCTTTCCTCTTCTTTCAAAAGAACTCTCTCTTCCCCATCGACACACGTCTTTTTCCGAAAAAGGTCTTTTGAAAAAAGGCATCCTTCCTCATAGAAAGAGGTTTACCAATGTTGGGAAAACTCCTCTGTTCTTTTGATTTTTTTTCTGAAAACGCGATTGCAGCGTGCAAATAAGTGAAGTTTTTTTTCGGGAAAACAGCCTTAGTGCAGACATAGCCCCAGAGAGGATTTAGCTAACTTAAAATTGAAAAAGCCTGCCAGACCTGTTAGCAGAACATTAAACCTGTGAAAGAGCCATTCAAGTGCTGATAAAGCTATTTTACAGGCATTTGCCAACCCCAGGTATATTCTGTCAGTTTCCTAATTTACTGTGTTAGTCTATAGGACCTTAGTTTTGTAGTTTAAGTTTTGCTTTAAAATATTTCATTAGTGTCTTGCTGAAGATTATGCAATCACATTTATAAAAATATCACAACCCTCAGACTGCCCTCAGGCATAGAGGCAGTTTAATAGTACTGCATGAGACCCCTTAAAACCTAAGGATGGTCGTGTGTATATGTGCTTATATATAATATATATTTGGAAAATATTTTAAAGTAGCATGAAGGAATATGATGCCCTTTAAATGGTTGGGCAGTCTCCTCTGAGTGCAAAGTCTTGGTTTTGTTTAGTGTCTGTTTTGCTGCCAGAACAATAAAGCCACCACAGCAAACAGCCGTGTTTTTAAATCAGCTCCTGCTGTGTCTATTTCCTTCCCTGCTGATTCCAAATATAACAGAAACACCTATCTCTGGGGAGAATTTCTTCCTATTCCACTCAGATGTTGGGTTTGCCCTGCAGTTTGAGGGCTTGTATCCTTAAAATCCTCTCTAATGTAAATGCAAGTGTTTTCATTACACATACAAGAATCTATTGCTTTTCTAGCACTACAAAGCACTTGCAGTCAGGAGTTCTGCAGGCTAATTATGTGTTGTGTGGAAAAGCATTTCCATTTTTAAGTTGTAAAGTGTTGCCTTTCGGTGTTTTTTAATACTGCCTTGTTGTTGCATTCTAGGAAAGATCATGCGCATCTGTTTATGCTATAACTCTACACAGTTTTTATTTATCACAGAGTTATAAGCCAGAATGGATTGTATGATCATGAAATCTGACACAGCAGTAGTCAGTTATAGTATGACCTGATATTCATAACAACAAAAATCATCCCACAATGGAGCCTGCCTGATTACCATTAACTTTTCCTACTGAAAAGTTTCCTTATAGGAACTTTTTCCCAGGATGGACATTTACATTTAGCAGAACCAAGTAACTATATACTTAATAAAGCCATTTTGTAACTATCCAACTAGTAAGTATTCTTAGCTCTTGTTATATTCTTCTCACATTTTCCTTTCTTATTGTCATGTGGATGGTGAATTCTTACAAAGTTGTGGCTTAAAATGGCCAAGCTACAAAAGCTCATATTTACATAAGCCTAGTTTCAAGTTTGTGTGAAATTTTGTGAAGTTTAATGAAAATTTCAGCAAGCCTCTTTGCAGTTTCAAGCACCTATTGTCTCCGGTGAATTTTCTGTTTGGGTTTCTCGGAGAACATTTTATAGGGCTCTACTTGGTGCCTGTCTTTTTACACTTAATGAGACATTCTTATGCTGCTTTCAACAGCCTGATTAGCTGTTAGCCTGTAATTTGCTTGGTAAATTTTCACTGATCTGTACAGAATGTCATCTCAAGCAAACCAACTTTGCAAGAAACTTGAAGTTCTTAAGCTGGCATGTATTACTTGAGGTTTTGACTCTGAAAGCAGCTTTGGCTTGATTTTTGTTTTTTTGTTTTAACGCTGTCATTTCTCCTCTGAGTTTCAAGCAAGGATACAATGGTTACCCAGTGGAAACACAGTGGTTCACTTACATGACCACCACCAAGCAGATTTGAACCTGAGACTACTGAAGCTTACTATCAGAGCCCCTAAACTCTAAGGCTGCATCTAGACTGGCATGATTTTCCGCAAATGCTTGTAACGGAAAAGTTTTTCCTTTACAAGCATTTGCGGGAAAGAGCGTCTAGATTGGCAAGGACGCTTTTGCGCAAAAGCACTTTTTGCGGAAAAGCGTCCATGCCAATCTAGATGCAGTTTTGCACAAGAAAGCCCCGATGGCCATTTTTGCCATCAGGGCTTTTTTGCGCAAAACAGTCCTCCCCTGTCTACACTGGCCCTATTGCGCAAATACATTTGCGCAAGAGGGCTTATCCCTAAGCGGGAGCATCATAAGATTTGCGCAAGAACACTGACAATCTTACATGAGATGTGCAAATTCAAGCGGCCAGTGTACACAGCAGGCAAGCAGCCATTGATGTGGGGAACTGAAGCAAACAAGCATCAAGTATCTAAAAGGGTGTTACAAGGATGAAGGAGAAAAATTGTTCTCCTTGGCTTCTGATCATAGGTCAAGAAGCAATGGGTTTAAATTGCAGCAAGGGAGATTTAGGTTGGATATTAGGAAAAACCTCCTGTCAGGGTCGTTAAACACTGGAATAAATTGCCTAGGGAGGTTACAGAATAGCTATCATTGCAGGTTAGATAGATGTCTATCTGATATAATCTAGACAGTGCTTGGTTCTGTCATGAGGGCAGGGGACTGGACTTGATCTCTTAAGGTCTCTTCCAGTTCTAGTATTCTATGATTTTATGATTATGGAGGGGTAGTTTAGGGATGGATATGTAACATAGCCTGGCCAGTGGGTGCCATTTATTACACTCAAAATATGGAAGTTTAAAATCAATATGACATTAACGTTTCTTAAAAGCAATGGTGCAGAAAAGAGCCAAAAATGCTCTGCACAAACAACTGGAAATTCCTGAATTTTAACATTGGTTGTACCTGTAACTCCTCCTACAGCAAATCACTGAGGATATATTTTACACTCTGTGTATGCAGTCACATAAAGGCAGTGTTTGACCTAAAGTCAAACAGTCAGTGTTAGATCTGGTTATCCGATGAACACCACATCCACAAGACCACAGTGCCTCTCAATAGGGAATACAGCTTTCAGATTTCTTCTTGCTGTGTATTACTTTGTTCCTCTCTAATAGAACAGAATTTAAGGCCAATTAAGAATAATTCCCCTAGCCTCCAAAGCTCTAAATACTAACACAAACTTGTAGATGAGCAGAAATCCTGTAGTAAAGTAACTGGAAGCTAAATCTGCTAATAAAGTATTTTAGATTAGCAGAAATCTAATGAAGAAATTGAAATTTTAGAGATATATTTGTAGGAAGAGCCTAGAGGGATTAAACATAAACTCCTAAGAAACCCCAGATCCCATTTTCATGCAAATATCTTTAATAAGAAAAAAGAACAAAGGAGGAAAAAGACAGATTGTTTTTCAAAGTTTATCATGTGAGTTATCAGCTCTGTAACTGTACAATGCAGGCAGTACATCTGTTGTATCCATTGGTATATGTTTGAAATTTAAATATTTAATCCCACAGGACATTGTACAAAGAGCTACCAGTCAGGTTATTGACATATTGTTAAATTTCTCTGTATGACAGTATCTTTACCCGAACACTGTGAAGCTGTGGAGATAGGCTATTGTCAGATGACATTTCATCTCAGCGTTCCTTTAACTTAAATTCATCAGGCTTCATAAAACAAAAAGTGACACACTGCCCAGCAAAAGCTCATGAATTATCAGTGTAATGACCAAAAGAAAAACAGTTAGATGTCCATGTATTTCTTGAAATGTTCTTCACATGGTTTATTGGTTGTGCTTTAGAACACTCGAAATAATATATAACAACTAATTGTTTCTGCCCAGAAAGATATATTTTATTTGGGGACCTGGACTAGCGATATGCCTGCATCTCATGTCTATGGTTTCTTTTTTGTCTACTAATGTGTATTATATATACATTGGACAATACAATGTTGTTGCTCTGTAAAACAGGAGTATCATTTTGTACATTATATAGTAAGACTGTATAATGTACATTAGATCATCCAATTGGAGCACTGTACAAATCACACCATAGTATTTCTTTCTCTGTATTTAAGGAATATCTCTCCAAATGTGGGTCCTGAGTTACCACTTAGGGTGTCCAGATTTACCTGAATGTAACTGAGTTGGAATCAATGATATTACAATGAGCTGGGACTAGAGAAGTCCAAGGGGGAATCAGGAAAAAGACCTGCATAATGATATATTGATTAATGAGGGGC